GCCCATGTTATCATATATCCAGCCAAGTTGATGATTGTAATCTGCTCTATCTTTATCAGAAGGCGCCTTTTCAATGAGGATCTGATAGAGTTGTTCTGCTTTTGCAGGCTCACCAAGTTTAATAAGTATGTGACCAAATCGAGCCCATCCTGTTGCCCAAGTGAACTCTTTTCGCAGTGCTGATGTGAGTTTGTTAAAGTCATCATCTTGATTACCCACTAGAGTGAGATTAACTTGCCATAAGCGATCAGCATTCTTGTCTTCAATTCTTTCGATGCGATCGATACGAAAAATTGTATGTGTTGTAAAAAGTATTTCTTCTTCCTTGTCTTGAAAGAAGCCAACTTTGTTAGTTACTTCGGCAAATGGTGTCGATGAATTTGTACAAATATCCGTGTCAATGTTCATAATGAAGAGAATACCAACTGAACTTGTATTAAATGCTGCTGGCCGTGCAAAATTTTCCAGTGAAATCTCACGATTGCGACTTGTTGATAAGAAATTATTAAAGGACATAAGTCCCCCTTTGGTTTTTTTCATTTTTTCAAAATCTTCCATGGACAAACCTTGTCCACGGAAGACTTGAAAATTTGCTGGCATGCTGGCTTTTTGTTCGCGATGTAGTTCGGTAATATGTTGATGTAAATGACGGATGAAAAAGCCCATTTTAAGGATGATGTCAACATCCATTTGTCGGAGTCCACGATTGAGCATGGGATAAATAAATGTCTCCGCTGTATACCACCATATTGGTGTATGATCACGATATTCATTTTCGACCTTCCTAATTTGACCTTCATCAACATCATTTTGCAGACGACAGTATTCTACGAGATCTTTAATCGATTTGACATCGTCATCTTCAATTTCCAAGAGTGCTTCCTTTAACAATTGTGTATACATAAATAATGCATCACGACCATTAAAGCTGATCGGGATCATAGCTTGATCACATCGTTGTCGATCGATTTCAAGTGCTTGGCAAATTGGTTCTATTTTTGTGTATACACCCTTAACCTTGCTTATTTTTTTAGCCCATTGTTCATGAACCGATTGGTTACCACAAAACACATAAATTGCTTCCAATTGTGGCAATGCTTCGATTTCTGGTACTATTTGACGACCCAAGGAACCTGATACGATCATAAATATCTTTTCTTTTTTGATTTCCCTTAGGAAATTAACGCATTGTTGGGCATCCGTAAACGTTGTGATGGATGCCACAATTTTTCGAAGATGTTGCAATGAATTCTTAAAATCGTTATCTGATTCCTGCAAATTGGCATCGAGCCATACCAAAAGAAAATTTTGAAGAATTCGACGAGCAATTTGAGGAAGTACTGCATTTCTGCTTATCGTTGTTGTTGGTAGTGATGCTGCTGCTGTTGTTGATGATGATTTTTTTAGTTTATTTATTGTGGAAGGAGAAGATGATCCACTAGCACTCGATTTTGAATGTTGCTTTTCGTCCATTTGAATGATTTTGATGATAATAATGACAGTGTGTTTTCGTAAATGATTTTTTTCAATAGGTTTTTTTTCTTTTTTCGTGTTAACACTTTTTATTTTTTGGTTTGTTATTTTTGGTGCTATAGAAGACTTGAAGGATTTCTTTGCCCAATTTTTTGTTCGTTCGTTCGTTTTCTTTTAATTTCAAGTTTTTTTTATTGACAAAACGACAGTGACGAAACATGTGTCACCAATAACTGAATAATTGTATTATCGATCAATTGCGCATGATTTGTAGGAAAGAAAAAACAAAAAGTTACAAATAGAATTTCAAAATAAGTTCCTATATTTGTTGTCTTTATTGTTTTTCTTTTTCTTTACTCCTATCTGGAATCATTAGAAAATTCTCTTCTTTTGTCTAAGTTTCTATATGCAAGACATCTTAAATCGACAAAATAAGTGTCTTATCCAAAAACAAAAAAAAAAAAGAAAAAAAGAACGAAGCTATTCTTTTGTTTTGTAAGTTTTTTTTCGAGTTGACAAATTCGTTTAATTGTGTAATGCCATGTGAAAGAAAGAGAGCAAATTCATTTGTGTAGTAAGAGTAAAAGTGTTGAAAACATACTTATTTTCCATGACTAAAATATCTTGTTTTCAAAATACAACATAAGTTCATTTAGTTGTTGATTTAGTTGTTATACTCAAGTCATCATGTTTTCTTTTGAAGTTTGCATCATCATCTCAACAAATCAGAGACGAAGAAAAATAAAAATATAATAAAATGAATCAATGATATTTGCATTGTTGCCAAGGTTTTTTCCAATATAGGTAGGAAAAATGAGTATCGAAATAATGCCACGTGTAGATGTGAGCATGAGTTTGAGTCTGTGTGTCCTTCATAATCACACTTCATATTCAATAGATATTATTCTAACAGATTTTCACTAAAAACAAATGTATTTTATTTATGAGAGGAGAAATGAATTAAAAGACACGATTTGCTTCTAATAATATTTAATTATATATGATAAAGCATTATTAGAATTAAGATGGTTGCTCATATGTTATAATATACTACGACACGAAAACAACAAAACTATATACCTACAATACATACAACGATTGCAAGTAAAATTCAAAATATACACAGGACACTAGATTTACACGAGTAAAATATAAAGATACGTCTATATAAATATTGTTATTCTTATATCCCTTCTCTTGTTTAACTAGTGTCTGTTTGTTTGGATTCTAATTTGACATACAACACTTTAAATGAAATATATGGTCATTTTTACATTTCTTTTTTTTCTCTTAATGTACATATTATCGATAAAAAAAGACAAATCAACGATTAATTTATATTCATTGATTTATAATATTCTATTAGAAGTAAGTTAATATTTCTTCCATGTATTTAATAAACAAAATATTGACTTCGACTTTCGTACCATTCCCAAAAAAAAATTTCTTTATTGTGTTATTAATTTGATCCGTAGATCATATATGTCCGTGAAACGTATCTCAAGATAAAATTTCTGTGCTTTAGATATTTTTGAAATCTTCGAACTGATGAATCGATTTTCATTCGTGACTAATAGCATTATGTAATGTGCATACTCTGAGTTTCGTTTTCCGAAATAGGTTTTTTGCTAATGTTTCAAAATTTGTTGCTAATTTTCTCTTATGAGATGTAGGTATAGTAATAGTTTGGCTTTTACATCATTCGTACAAATTGAGAGACCTGATGTTCGTTCTTGGAATTTTGATGATAAATGACTCTCGCTAAAATCTGTCTCTACGGCAAGACGTCAAGTCAAAATTCAAAAATCAATTTTTTTGTTATTAGAACTTTTCTTATGAGTAAAATAATCATGAACTTGGATCCTCTTAAATGTCATGAACTTCATTAGATATTCGATAGTTCAAATAAAAAAATCTCATAAGATGGAGTGTGGTTGATTGAAGAAGAAGAAACCACAGCCATAGGCACATCCACACCCAAAGTACACAGGTATAAATCAATTCTAGAAAAATTAAAGACAAGTATATATATATATATTAGTTTTATATGTTTGAAAGCATGAGATTACAATGAGTTTTTAGTTGATTTCCACATCAAATCTTTTTCAAATCGATTTAATACAGATTGAAGAATTGGATTGCGTTTTTTCCTACTTAAATTTTCTAAATATATTATTATGATGTAGAGATGAACGAGGAAATCTAATTACGATATGACTGAATAACAGCAACATTTAATATCATATAAGTCATTTGAGATCATATTCGATGAATTTAATTTATGACACAGTCGACATACTTTCAATTAAATATTTTGATACGTCAACAGATTCTTTATTAGAATTTTTCATTCGTTAAAGAATTAATTTTGGAATAATATGATAAGTTATGATTAAAAAAAGCAAAATAAGCAAAGAGGAAATATTTTTGTTTTTTACTTGTAATATTATCATTACTATTAATCTCTTTATGCATTTGTTCGTCGACTTCCATCAACACCATTGAGTAGAGAATAAATACATCATAACTATGAGAATCATTACAGATTTTGGCCAAATATGTACAAAAGTGTTCATTATTATATTTATTTCTGAACAAGTACGTCAATCTGAATAGAATTTTCACTACAGAAAAAAAAAGAAATCAATACAAAATTTGATTTGACATGTGACGGCAGCAAAAACATGTCTGTCATAGTAACAAACGTTACACCACAGAAAGAAAAAAAATTTTCGTTTTCATTAAATAAATAAAGACATCATACGTCATTATTTTATTTTTCATCAGATACTTTTCTTATTAATAATATACAATAATAAGACAAAAAAATGAGACAAAAATGTAAGAAATAAAATATTAAACCAAGTCATGACGGTGACTATGGCAGAGAGCATGGCTCTATATGGGAGGATGTCAATAAATGAAGTACTTGGACCCACACCAGCGCAAAATAATGTCTTTAGATTTACTTTAAGTATTTACAAGATCGAAACATATCCCTATTGAACATGTAGCAAAGACTATATTTTAGTTATAAGAATTTTGGTTGATGATAAGGTTTTCAATTTATACAGTCTTATTTTATAAAGATGTAATCTAACGCCATCCATTAATAAAAAGAACAGAAATGTCAATGGTGTTTACGAATATTCAATCGATGTTAGTCTTTTTCAGTCGACTATTCATTCATTCATTATGATTATCAAATAATGTTTAAACTTAGTCATTTATTTATTTGGTTTTAAAATAAATGAATTGAATATAAATTAAACAAAATGGATAAACTAAGTAAATCACTTGAAGTTTTAAGGTTACTTTCAACAACAAAATCAGAAACATTAATAATCAAGTAAAATTGATTTTTCTGGTTTTCATCTCTCCTCGAATGTTCTTCTCATTTAGCGGTAACAATAAAAATTATTTTAAATTAATTAAAGCTAGCGTGGAAACATTATTTACAACATGTGATGAAAATGATTATGATGTAAGATTGACTGTCGAGGAAAATCTTAATGAATTTGTTAAAGTATTGTAAAAGAAATTCTATTTTTTTGTATAATTTTGGTATGAATTATAGAATAGAATTTAAAAGAAGTAGTTTTAACAAGAAGCCAAGTTGAATCACATCGAATTATAAAACATAATCCTAATATTGAACCAAATGCTTTAAAAGGTTATTTTTATTATTTGACTTAAATTTATAATAAGGATTTTTTTTTTAAATTTCGATTAGATGTTCTATGACGGTTTGCCAAATTAGCAAATGCAATACATCTGAAAACGATTCAACCATTTTATCAGAATATTATGAACTTATTTTTTATATTCTTGAATTCATGAGAAAGAAATCAAAGTAAGTAAAAAAGAAAATCTTTGTCATCTAGAACAAGTTTTCTAAATTAGTAATCAGAAAAATGTCATACGGTTGAATAGAAACATAGAAAAGAATTGCTCTACCATGTTTCGGTTAAAATTTCTAGCATGAGAGGATGTTTTTCAGAAAATGCAGAATAGGCAGTCTGATACTATTTGACGAAATACGAACTGAGAAACTGTCTATCAGTTGAAGCGATCTGCCCTTGAAAGTAATCGAGCGTAGTTTCATGCAACTTAAGGCATCCCCCCCTCCAAAATCGATTTTCGTTACAGTGCATCGTACTTGCCTGAAACTTTCCACAAATGTTGGGCACATCAGAGTAAAGTTACGAATTTTTTTTTACTTCTCCAAACCTCAGCGTTCAGGAGTTTTCCAGAGATCAAGGCCAAAAATGGACCCTCTGGCAGTACAAACTTTTTTTCACTATACTTCAACGGACTGAATCGGGGATTGTTTTATTTGAAGAAGAACTGTTTACCGCTTGGACTGAGGGAAAGAGATTTTTAAAATTTTTCTTTGTTCATTTTAGGGACGTCCAAAACCCCAAAATTCTGAAAATCTTACCCCAACGCTTTTGAAAAACCCTGGATTTCTCTCAGATTGACGATGAAATAAAAAATCCCTTTCCCTCATCCGAAGCAGTACACATGTATGTATCGACTAAAAAAAAACCGCAGCTCTCTAGGATGAAGTATATTGAAAAAAAATTTGTTCTGCTGTCGATATCTAGCACAAAAATACGTTTTGAGAAAATTGATAAACAAAGTGAAAATTATTTTTAAGCCATTTTTGGGAAACAAAGAATTCTAAAGGATTTCTCGAAATCTAGCATTGCCATTACATCAAACATGGAGACAAACATGTATAACCAAAATTTTAGAATTTTCGGTCATCAGGTAAAGAAGAGAGAAGATTTTCAATCGCTGAGACAAACACCAAAATAGGTGTCCCTATTCGGCAAAAACTTTTGTAACTCATTCCAGGTATCAAATTTTATTCTGAAAATTTGGATACTATGGTAACTTGGCACGCTGAATACGATAGTGATTTTGGTTTTCTATAAAAATTCTAAAAATCGGGAATGGCCTCCTGAAAGCCTAAAAAGTACTGGCTAGCTACAAAAAAATGATTGAGAACGGCCAAAAACCACTCATATCCTAAAACCAAAGACATGCACTGAAAGAGGAGAGTTCAGTACATCATCCTCCAACAAAAACTCAATTTTGAAATTTTTTCAAAAAATCTAATTTTTGGAGGGGGGAAGCCTTAAGAATGGTTTAGTCATAGGAGTACACTGGCTCTCGTTATAGTTAAAGTATGAAGTCGAGTGAGAACGAATTTTTCTTTTCCTAATATTAACAATAAATAATTTTCTTTTGAAATATATAATCAATGACTAAGTTATTCTTAGAAACTTCTCATGGCCTAGTCAGCAAATGTGTTATCCTATGGTTATAGCACGTTTTCTAATGACAAATGCAATTAGTAAGTTTTCTTTCAAATAATAATTTCAATCCATTATAATTGTCTTTTATTTTAATAGATCAATTACTTGAACATCAAAATCAAAATGCTAGTACACGTTTAATAATTGATTATCTTGGTTTAATAAAAAATCTTATTCAATTACTTCGTTATTCAAATTTATTTGATTTTGATCAATTATTAATTTCAACCCAAATTGGATCTATAGAAGAAATTCGTGTTAGTGAAGCCTTAAAAACAGGTAAATATTGAGAAAAAAAACAAGAATTTTTTTTTTCATTTGTTTTTGTTTTTCTAAAACAATAGCTTATTCAGCATATCAACGTTGATTTATTGAAATGAATGATGAATTCGATTCAACATCAATGATTAATAATGAAAAACGAATATCAGCTGCTAAACTTGTTAATCAATTATATTTTTTTTCCGATTAGATATATATTCAATATGGATAGTACGATAAAAAGTGATGATGAATCACGTATTAGTGTTAAATGTGCTATACCAATATGTCTATCGTATTTATAAACAATTTGATCCATTTGTTTATCTTACTGAAAGTATGTTTAATTCTTGTTTGAGGCTGCTTTTTGTAAAGTTTCACTTCAGTAAAATAGATCTATTTTATAATCCAAAATTATTTCTAATGTCGTAACAGTAGCAGGGCCTAGGTGAAGGGGATTGTGACAGAGTGTAGTTGACGTGACTTCAATTGGTTAAGGTCTCAAAGTTTTAATGAAAGTTATCTGATAGATATGACAATTTCACTATTAAATTGTTGAAACATATATATATATTGGAATCTGAAAATTCAAGAATGGAGATTTCTGAATATTGATTCAGCAACTATAGTCCTATTCCTACTTTTAATTTTTTTGAAACCAACAAAAGACTAGAACATTATCAGACTCGAAACGATACCAAGTAGAATATTTTATTGAAGCTCAAAGCCTGCATCAATACATCAGAGATTGAAATTATACAATCACATAACTACCTCAAAAAAAGTTCTAAGCCGAAGTTCGAGATATGAAAGCAATTGTATCCTCTAAGAAGTTTTTCTTTAGTCTTTGAAGATTTCTGATTAGATATAATTTTATAATTAAAATTGAATTCTCTAAAGGAAAAAATGAAATTCACATCTCTATATGACTTGTAATACATTAATATTTATCGAACATCAAGGTATCGTTTTTTTCTTTTCTTTAAGATATTACATATCTTTTATCTTTATGTGAATACGGTGATCTACATTTGCGTGGTGCATGTGCAAATTTACTTGTTACATTAATTCAAACAACAAATCATCTTTTAACACTATCGTCATTATCAAATTCATTTAATAATTCTTTTATTAATCAATGTTCACTTGTATCAACTGATTCACAAGATAGTTCAAGGTTATATGTCTTAATGATAATAATGCACGTGTTATACATGTTTCACTAAATGCTTTACGAACATTATTACCTTTTTTTATTAATTAATAGTCATGCATTTACAATCATAGGAATTGAATTATTAGAAGATTCTATTCAACATACTACACGTTCCTGTATTCTTGCTAAAGTAGATAAAAGAAATTTATGATTATAATAATTTTTTTTTTGTATGTATATAAAATAGTTTGCTCTAGCTCAACTTATGGATGATATTGATTTTCGAATATTAACTTATCTTGAACAACAATTAAAACAACAGTACCCTGATATACATGTTCGTCAAGCAATTGCTTCGACTTTTGCTAAGTATGCATTTTGTAGAGATATTAACTAGGTAGTTTTTTTTCGAATTTGAATGCATAAGTCGATTTTATTACATTAAGTTAGTTATTAGCTACTTTTTGATTTTAAGGTTTTGTTGATCACAATTCATTTTTACCATGTCAATGGATATATAAAATTCATCATTCATTACAAGCTCAAGCATCAACTCGAATACAAATTGTTTGTTATTTTTGTCTTTTATATAGGTTGGATGTTTAGAAGATATTTATGTTCTTTCAAATGTTTTAAGACCAACAACAATTCGACCAATTTTTTCATAATCAATATGATGAACTTCGTTTATTTATAAATTTTTTTAAACATTCCTTTATATTACATGATCTTAAGAATTTAATCTTTTCAAGTAAAGAGAAAAAAAAGATATTTATTATGTTTTTTTGAATTCTTTCTTTTTATTTGAAGATTTATCAAATCTCAGCAAACGAAAAAATGTTTTGAAAGTAGCACAAATGATTCAAGTAATTCGAAAAATTGAACTATTTTATCATCATTCTTTTGAACAGAATATAGTTGATATTTCAGTTTTCACAGAAGAAAGGAGTTCTAAAGTGTTAGATTTGAAGAATATATTTGATCATGTTTCGTCTGAATGAATTCATTTGTTTTTTGTCTTTTTAAATAGAATGATAAAGATTCATCAACAACATCAAACACAGACAAAGTTAAAAGAGTTAATCATACACAATTAGGTACTTTTGGAAATTATTCGAATTAATATGTTCATCATATCAAATACATAAAAGTTTATTAAACTCATCAGAAATGATCATTATTATCTATGAAATCAGTTTTAAGTCTTATTTCTACACAAGATTTATCAAAAAAATTTGGAAGAGAAACGCTTAATTATTTTAAATCAACATTCAATGTACACAAAAGGTAACTTCTTTTAAATAGTAAATATTTATTGTTTAAGCTAAAACCTTTAGGATGTCGTATTGTGTCTGAAACTTGTCTATGGATAAAACTTTAGATGGAAATGTTTTAATTAAGGTTTCTGAAAGGATCTTTCCTTGAGAAGGAAAATTTCAATATAAAAATGCCATAGTAACAGAAAAACTGATTTTACAAATATCGATGATCTTAACGAGAATAGTTTTGTTGTGAAAGTGTCAGATCTTTTGATTTGGTTCTATCTTTAAATCCGAATATTAAATTCAGCTAGTTGACGTGAGCGATCTGCAAGACATACTATCAATTCGAAATTTGAAAATCATTTTTTCTGTTAATACAACATTCATTTAAAAATATTCTTTTAATTTAGTTTTTATTAAATCTTCAAATGTTTCTTCACAAGTATCATTAAATAATTCTTTAACTTATATTCATACAATAAGTATTCGACAATCGATAATTTATTTTATTTGGTTCACGTTATGCATCAAATATAAATAGTGCAATACGAGAGTAAAATAAACAAAAAAACGAATTTGATCTATTCTGTTTTTTTCTTTTCCATTTTAGTTTTTATTGAACTAAAAAATTAGTCTTAAAAAATATATGAATATACAAATGAAAGTGATTTTCAAGCTGCTGTACTCAATTTACTTGTTCATTTACTTTTAATTCGTTTTAATTATAGTTGATTAGAAGCTGATGAAATTCGTTGTATTTCTAATCGTTTCGTTTATTTTTAAATAGCATTTTATTTATTGTATTGCTGAATTTCTTGTTATGTTATCACATGATACACTTCATTCAAAACGAGTTATTAAAATACAAGATTTAATAAAACATAATGATTCATTATTAACAAGTGGACATGAACCTGAAACACATAGTAGGAAGCAAAAAAAACATTTTCGAGAAAAAGAAATGATCATTAAAATTCTTTATTTAGCTTTGGCAGCATTAGAACCAGTTTTATATGATTTTTTTTCTTGTTCGAGTTATGCGAATAATTAAAATTCCTAAAAAGTTTTATTAAATGAGAGTGAAGAAAAGGTGTCCTTCTATAAAGTCTCCAATATCTTAGAAACTCGAGAGGGTGTGAGTGTGGGTGTGTAGATGTAATTTTTCTCCTTGATTGAACTCACACCCACACTTCAACGAATCGATGATCTGAAAATAATCATCTTGTTGTTATGTATTTGAGTTTGAAGGAAAACTAGGCGTCTTAATTATTATAAATAAAAGTATCTTTTCATGTCATGTGTATGTATTGAAAAAATAATAATAGAATTTATATTGTTATAGGCTTTACGATTGTTCACAGTTATTGTTAATAGTGTTCAAATTGACGATGATAAATGGAAACGTCTTTCACGATAAATTGTCGATGTACTTCTTGTTCATTTACAATCACATGTTACTATTGGTTTATCTCAGGTTATTTTTTTGTTCAAATAGGATCAATTACTTTTGGATATTTATCCCACACAATTAACACTATTTGATGTTGTCTCATCAGTTGCATTACGATCAATTGATCCATTTGTTACTGCTTTTCGAGCATTAGTAAATAGAAACGTTCGTTGTTTTTATTTATAAAATTTTCCTGTAGTTCAAAATTTTTTTTAGAATGTCAATTGTCAATCTACAAATCGATAGTTAATCAATATAAATATAATACTTCAATGTCTTGTACAAAATTTAACTGAAGATGCTATACTAACACGATAGAATGATGTTTTATTATCAGTTAATGGAACATGAGATGAAACTTTTAGTGCGTAAGTATTCGAAATGATTTTATTTCTAATTTAAAAACTTTTATTCTCGTTTTTGTTTTCAGAGCTTTTCTTCGTGTTTTACATGATATAATATTATGAATTTTAACTAATACTCGACAATTATGTGGTCAAATCAATATGATATTAGTTTCTCTTGCATCCGATTATCTTTATGTACATATCACCCATTAATTTGAAGATAAAACTTTCCTGCAATTCATTAATTACTAATGAGCTAGCGAAAAACATTTGACTGTAAAATTCCTATGCTTATACAAGATCTATGACTTTATTTGAGTTAAACAATTTCGAACAATTGTAAATGATTTTCATCAATTATGAATTCATGATGAAACTCTACATTGTCTTGATATATTTTCATATTTAACTATTTTAAATGAATGTTTTAAATTATTATGATCATCATTTTATATCTCATTATTATTACAATGGATACATATTCTGAATATGATTGATTATACACAAGAAGCATGCTGGTCACCGACATTAACACCATCATCATCAAGAATACATTTATCTATCAGTAGTCAATTACAATCTTATTGTGATTTAATATATCATCATGAATTATATGTTGAACATTTTACATCAATAACAACACATTATCAATTGTTATTATTATTTTTTATTTGATCTTATACATCATACATCAGTTGCAAGTCATTTATTTTTTTTTGTGAAGGAATAGATTTAGATGAAAATGGTCTTCTATTAGTTTTATTAATTGAACAATTCCTTCCATTACCATATACATCTATATTACGTTTAGCTGAATTAATTGTTTATGATTGTATTGAAATGATGTTAACACTTGACCAACAAACATTAAATAAACAATTATGACCTAAATATTTACCATTAATTTTATAAATATTATCAATAACAATATCAATCAATATTATTACTTAAGATTTTAATAATCTTAATTGTCCTATAGATATAACAAGAAAAATTTATGAACAAATACTTAAAAATCTAACTTATAAAAAATGATTATCATTTATGATGTCACCGGTATATTTTAGTTTAATTTATCTAAATAAATAAATATATATGTATAATAAAAATTTTAATCCAATTAAAAGAAATGTTTTTGTTTTTACTTTGACATTGTTTATGTGCTAGTAATAGATAAGACTTGAATAATTCAAAATTTCGAAAAATATTTTGAAATAGAAAATATGCAGAATTTCAGGTAATACAAATCGTAAAGGAAAGCATTTAAGCTACATTAGTACAATGACCGAATAATTCCTCTCGAATCTTATTGATCAAATTCTCAGTCGCGCTATTTGTACTATTACAATTAAAGAAAACAACGTCTTTCTGATATTATATTTCGAAATAAATTGCATTCGAGAATTTCGATAAACTTTCTATAAGTTTGAACTCGTGAACTCCGAAAACGTATTGGATTTTTTCCACAGCATTAAATTTTTAGGATGATTCTTATAGTAAATGAAAATTAATTTGAGAAAATAAGAAACAATATAAATCTGTTCTTTGTTTGTTTTCCTAGAATTTTGTATAGTTATATCAAATGAAACAAATTAAAAAGATATTGAAACAACACCTAATACAATTTATGAAAAAAGTCTTTTATCATGCATCTAATAATCAACCATATTCAATTGCATTCATAGATTCTCTATTAATATATTTTGATAAGATACAAAATCATGTTGAATTAACATGTCAATTTTCAACAGGTGATATACGTGATTTATTACGTTTTATAATATTTATATCAGAAATAATTTATATAAATATATTTCAAAGAAAAAAACATCATTTCTTAGTTGTGAAACAGATCAAATAATATCATGTTGTACATTATCGAAAATACTATTATCAATATTTGAATATATTTATCAACAACATGGTTTAACTATATCAAATATATTATAATCATATTTAAATTTAATTGAACCAGATAAAAGATCATCTTTATTATTTAACAAAAAAAAAATTAAATATATATATATGTCATATATTTATTGACATGATTTATATTGTATAGCTATATTATTATTTTGTTTACCAAAGTTTATATAAAGACAATTTTGGAGTTGGTTGATTATTAAGAATACAATTTTAAGAAATATAGGCTTCATTTTTAGCTTCGATTAATTCATCACAAATCAATCTAATGATGAAAATAAACAAACAACAAATAATTTTAAAAAAAAAAGAAGAAACTTTAGAAACAAATGCAACACAATGGTAACAAGATTGAAAAATAAACTAGATTTTATCTGTTCTTTTTTTATCAATATTAGATACAAGTTCAAATACTTTATTTACAAATATTGAACGGTTAGGTACACGTGATTTATTATCCTATGGACAACTTTCATATGATACTATATTAACATCAATTCAAAGTAATAATACATTACCATTATCAGTTAATGTAAGTCTCACATATGTTTTAATAATCGACAAATAGAACTCTAAATTAAAAGAAAGATAAATTCATTGCTAAATTATTAATTTCATCAAATTGAAAATCTAGTGTTTCTCTGACTTTGATTTGATATATAATACATGCAAACTATCTTATTTCATAGAGATAAAAGATTATATCAATAATTTCAAATATATTCTATCAATCAAAAAATTAGAGTATGAACATTTTCTTTTCTGGCATCCATCTTTAAAAATATATAATTTAGAGTTTATTTGATCGCTTATTTTTTCATCATGGTTTTGATTTAACATTATCATTACAAATTCTAATTGAAATACATGTAATATAAATTAATAGGTTCAATTATATATCTATCTGATTTATTTGTAAATGGTTTGATGAAGATGATTTAATAATATCCTTAATAAGTAATAATTTATGTAAATCTAGTATATTACTTGGACAAACAACAAAAGAATATAATGAATTATATCTACGTTTAATTGAACGTAATAATAAATTAATAACTAAAACTCATGCATATGCATCATGTTTATTCATGAAGTTGATTTAAATTCATATGATATTTTATTATCATTAATTAATGATGATAATTTAACACAAAAAATTATATCAATTAGTCTTGAAAAACTTTTAATAGTTGATCAATATCCCAAAAATGATATATGGTGTTAATACTTTCATGTATTTATACATTATTACAACGACCAAATAAAAATACAAAATCCATTAAATAATAAACATGTTAATAAAGAACAAACAATAATTGATAGTTCATCAATAATATCATCATCAGATAATGTTCTTATTGAACTTGTTGAAGAATTATATGAACGTACTAAACAATCATCAACATTACCATGTGAAGCTTTACTTTCATTACGTCCTTTATCATTATTACTTGCACACATTAGTTTTTTTTTTTCGTGCTTTAATTAATGCACGTTATTCAGCTAAAGTTAATGAATGGACTTTATTATCAATGACAAATATTATACAAAGAAAATCGCTATGTATGGCTATATGGGGGTTAACTTATCTTATGTTAAGTGCATGTCTATCACAGGGTGTGAGTGTGGGTGAAGACAAGACCTATAATGATTCCCACACCCACACCCTCTTATGAGTAAAATTCTGCCTATGGTTAAATATTCTTCCTAGTTTTCTTTTAAAAAATGATCAAGACTTACACATACAATTAAAATTTATTTGGAAAAGATAAATAGTAAAATAGTAATGAAAAACAAAAACTCTTTATTGAAATCCGAAGGAATGTCGATCAATACAAAATCAATAAATTTCGCCATGAAATGTTAAAATGAATTTTCATAGATAATATAGTATATCTTTTACTTTTTTAGGTTTTTATTGATGTCATCACGTTTCAGTGCTCGTTTTGAAGAATCGGACAATCGTTTATTCCTTATTGCTGATCGAAAATAGTATCTGCAGATATATTAAAAGAAAACCTGCATATATCAATTGTATCAACAAAAAACAAAAAATCTATTTTGTTTATTTTAGTTAACGAATATTGAACATTGACGTCAATTTTGACAAGCATTCATAAATGAATCGAATGTAGAAAAATTATATGCTGATTTACTTGAACACATTCAAAATACGGTGTGGATGTAGATGTTGTTTGGATATGTTGATGAATCATATATTCTCTCTCTCTGTCATCCATGCCCACACCCTCAATAAAGACTAAAAATATCAATTCATAAAATGAAAACATAACAACTAGAATTAATTTATTTACTTTTTTTCTTTTTACTAGAATCGGTCTTTATTATAACAATCATATCTAAATTTTCTAAATCAATCAGAATAGATTTCATTTATTTTGTGCTCTAATTTCTGTTTGACTTATTGATTTATATTTCGTATCGTATGTTTTATTATGATTTCAATCATTGATTTAACTAGTAAATAAGTCGATTACATGTATCTATTAAACATATTTTAGCCATTGAAGTTTTAACGAAAACTTTTTTAAACCATGTTGTTAGAGTTTAAGAGAAAGTTGCACAAATCTGGATTAAAACTTGCATTTATAACCAGTACTTTTAATAATATCAAGAAGAATGTGAGTATAGATGTTGATATTCTGTTTAACCATATCGACAATCTTTGAATCGTTTTGGTTTAGTAGATTATATGTAAAAGCAGCTACCATACTTCATCCTATTGAACTGTTTTCAGAAAATCCATTGAAAATGATAAATTCAAAAAGTCTTGCACTACACAATTGTTTCTCTTTATTCAAATAACAATTCTTTTTTCTTGATTTATTATTCGTATTTTTTATTATTTTATTATCAATACAAAAAAAATTTCACAATTAAGAAAAAAACTGAATATTTTAATGTAAAAAGCAATTCATCATTGACAGTATTTAACGATAACTATCAGGGAAAGGAATCAAACCAACTTCCACAGATTCGAATTCAGTTCGATGCCTGACAAGCGTGGTATTATCCTGTAAAATTATTTTAGATTGTAAATTTCTGAGAATTTTTTTAATGAAAAGCATTAGATTTTATTTGAAATTTATTTAACTTTTTTAAAATTTATTTCTGGATTATTGGTAAATGTTTACAAAATGTAAATTGATTGCTTTGCAAAATATTCCGTCGAACATCGTTTGATAATCGCATATAACATCACAACTTTACAAAAATGATTATATCTTAGCTAATCATTTTTTTTTCATATGCTTATCTATATTATTCATTTTTTCAAAATTACTAATATCTGTTTATGGAAGAAGTCGTTGTTTCAATGAATAGTATGATGTTGAATCCTGTTCTATTTTCATTACTGAAAATAGAAGAGACAATTAGCTTCAAAACTTTTTTCTCACAATCTACTTTCGTGATTTAAATTTTGTGTTCTAACTTATTTAACTTTGTTTCAAATATTTTTTTTTGTTGTTGACACAGTAAACTTTGCATACATGTGACGAAATAAAGTAAAGAAATTTTTTCTCGTAAAATTTAATTTAAACAGAAATATATGCAATAAGGTGTGAGTTTTCGGTTCATCTACAAAGCCATACATTCTATTGTCTAGGAATTCGTTTTATTCTTCACTTTTTTTTCTGGAGAAGTGTTTCTTTTTTTTTTGATTTTGGGACAATTATCAATTTAGTTTGCGTTTTGTTTCAACAAGCAAGTCGTTGCAAATCTTCTAGATTAAGAAAATATTTTTCCACAGTTACAGTTTGTTGTCTGTCTCTTCTGAATAGATCAATCAATCTCATTCACATTTTTCTGGCTAATAATTGTCATTGATATCTACTTTTAAGAATCATCAGGATCATAAACTCGATCATTCGATTTTATTGTAATATCAGATTACCTGATTTTCTCCAATATGTCATTTCTTGAACTCTTGTGAAGACATTCTTTCTCAGGCATTTGCCATCGACGAAATTGAGAAACTCTAAGATATTATCAGTTAAATCGTCTAATCTTAAATAGATATATTTCTCCTGAATAATTGAAAATTCAGATAAACTTAGAATTGACTAGCATCACAAATATTCACTCTATTCGTTAATTAACCTTAAGAAAGTCGTATATTTTTTGCCAAAAAAAAATTTTATGTTTGAATATTTGGAATATAAATATTTCAAAAGTTATTCAAAAGAAAAAGAGAACTTTGCAAGTATTTTAAAAACTGCATTAAAAACAAAAACAAAAAAACATGTCTGTTAACTCCTATTCAAGTATTCGCTAGTTAAAGAAATATTTGAATCATTAGCCTTAATAGTTATTTCCATACAATGTAGTATTTATACGCAAATTTTTTGATTGTTAGTAAATTTATCAATAAAAATCTTGAACAAACTGTTCAAATTCTTCTGAAAAATCATGATTTTTATAAATTTACTTATGCGCTCATATAAAAAAATGTGTTTTTTCTTAACTACTGTTTCCTCATACATTGAGATAAGTCCAGTGAATGATAAAGTTAATTTCGTCAACTGTTGTCTTTTAAAGAAGACTCATGGCTCCACAGACTATGCATGCCTTTTTCTTTTCATATCGAATATAATTGTTGTTGCTCTTTTCAAGGAACTATTGCCTTTAGTCAATTACTTTTTGGTTAAATAAAAACATCAAATTTTGATAGCATTTGATATCAATATTTTCGAAGTAAATCATCAGTTAAGAAGAAAGTTAGGAGATTTACAAAACTTTCACTTTGATCTGATTATCTATAGATGACTGAATCAATTTGTTTGATCTGCCTCTTCTATTTCTTTTTTCATAGATCTTTTAAAGTTCTACAAAAGATATCTTTTTCTCTATTGCATTCATATTATCAATTTTGAGTGAATAATTTCATCTTATATTTTTGAGAAAAATTCTTTTTCATAACATCAGTATGTCTTTCACCTCTGCAAGTGTTTTATAGGAGACTTATCATTTCAATGGAATAATATTCATTTATCTAGCATCTTCTATTGAATTTTAAAAAGGACACTAAGATAATTTTAATTGAAGCTGCAAAAATCGTCGAAAAATATATCCAAGCAAGTAGGATATGAGACAACAAAATTTCAAAGCAGGAAACTTTTCAAACATAAGATTGTCAATATGAATACCTATGGGAATATAAAGAATGTTACAAAATTAAAATCATAATCATCTAATATGATGAATATTATTCCATTGAAATGAGAAATTTTGGATTAAATCTATTCAGATAAAAAAAACACATAAAGCTGTTATGAAAAAAATTCTTCTCAATGAAATGTAAGATGAAATTAGTTATTGGAGACTAGTACAATAGGAAAATAACATTGGACTAGATTGATGCATTCTACAAAATTATATATTTCAATCAATGAACAGTTTATAAATTCATTGTCTTCTTAGATTAACTTGTCATATATGTTTATCTACATCAAAATGGTAATGAGACAAATGCTTATAAGGTTTCTTACATCAAACTATCAGCTGTAACTGAGAGTTTCTACATTGAAAAAACTGATTTTGGTGTGGGTGAGTTTGAATGAGGTCAGAAAGAAGAGATTCACCCACATCCCACAAAAAAGCTTGTCAAACTCGTGAGAATCTGCGTAGGGCACATCTGAAATTCATTTTTCTTTGACTCCGTGTGGAAAATGCAAGAACAAAAGTAAATGGTAATTAACAGCTGGTAATTTCTTTATATAGTTATAAATAACTTAGTATTTTAGTGACCATTGATATCTCGTATCTTATATGTATATACACGTTAATTATCGTTTTGTATAAATTAACTTTATCCATAAAAGAGTCTCGAAGATTTACTACATATACAAAATAAAAGGAACAATAATGTTCTAATAAAGGGATATGCAATTAATATTCGTTATCAATCAATGTCCATCTTCATTTATTAATAAGAGATAAATTAGATTTTAAAAAATAACTATGAACATATATGAGGATTATGAAAATTCTGCAGTCAGGCATCTTTTCTACTCGTGCTTAGTTTGAGTGGAGATCTAGTTTAAATATGTTACCGTTATCGAACAATGAAATTTTATAATAAGTTCTAACTTTTAAAATATTAATATAAGGATAAATTTGAAATAATATAATTATTTATTGTAAGAATATTCAAAAATAGAATACATTTCAAGTTGTTTATTTTCGATCAGTTATATGTGAGAAAGGAAATAAAACAAGATGATAAAGGGAAGAGGAGTTAAAATAGCGTTTGATGTCAAAATGTAACTGGAAATAAATTGATTATTAATAATAAAAAATATCTTTTGGTTAAATATTAGTGTTATTGTTTTCATGTAGGAGTAATTTTTGTATACATTCTAGTGTACAACTAGCAAAGAATCTTAGTATAATTTAATATCAAACACAGAAGATCTTTTCATCTGATTTAACTTACGAAA